AAAAACAAATCTCATTACTTTAGAAAAAATTCAATGAAATGAATTATATAAAAAAAAAATCAAACTATTTCAAGAAATAAATATTTTATTTATTTTTAATATTTAATCACTGTGATTTAGTGATTTTTGATTGATAATAAAAAATAAACTGCTGAGTTTCCGTTTCTTTTCTTCACCGGAAAGAAATGATCGAGCCCGGAATTTTCGGTTTATACTTAATAATGCGAGTTTTTTTGTGATTGTCTATTAGAGAAGAACAATGCTCGACTGCTGTTCACAGACTAGAAAGCTTCTAAAACTACTTTCCAATACTTATTATTATTGAGACGGTTTAAAGATGCTACTCTCAGCAATACTATACTGGGCATGACATTACCCATAAAGATACTATTTTCTACTACCTTCATCATTAACCAAATTTCTTCAAATATCTAAATTTGCAAGATTCGGTTGTTCAAATTTTCCTTACAAACAATTCATTTTTGTCATATCCAATTGCTCATAAAATCGGACAAGTCAAATTACAACAAGTCAAAATCTAGTTTCTGTCTACTTATATGAGAAATTAATTTGCACACAATTGAATATTTTACAATAGAAGTCTTGAAATTTCGTTTAGTAAATCAACAAAATATAGTCAATGATTTCTCAGTCTGGGTACATACCTAGTCCAACATAAATTTTGTAGTTTAACTGAACCAGAAAAGAAGACTGAAAATCATTGGATTGTATAAAAAAAGAAATCTTTAGTAGGTGTATGTGTAAAAACTACATTGGAAATCATGCGATTCATTGAAACGTATCGTGTAATTTTCTACAATTTTTTTCCAAAGAAAAAAAGGCGTGGATGTGGATGTAGGTCTACTTTTCTCAGATAAATCCACACCCAACTGTTTCCGTTAACTCTAAGAAGAATCAAAATAATGGTTTGAGTAGAAAATTTTACATGCAACAAAAATTTCAAAAAGTAGAATTTTTCGAGTTTAGAGTCTCTTAAAAAACCAAGTTTTTCAGCTTCTAGAGTTTGTAATTATAATTCCGTTTGAATTACTGAAAATGATTGAATAAACAGTGCTTTATAAAACGAAATATCTTCTAGCTTTCTTCGACATTTTTTCACAAAGATGCATCAACTTTACGGAAGACCAAAAAATGGTGTTGCCATTCGAAAATAAATGGAAAAAAAAACACTTCTGTACTTTTCATAAAGTCGATGTATCTTGGTAAAAAAAATGTCGAAGAAAGCTGGAGGACGTTTTATTTTGCCAAACACTGTTTGTTCTATCATTTGGGTAATTCAAATCGAATTTTAATTACAAATTTCAGGAGCTGAAAAACTTGGTTTTTCATAGACTCTATTCTCGAAAGATCACTAACCATGTTTATCTTCAAAAACTTATCTTAGAAATAAAATTATCTATTCAAATCACTATTGAAATTTTTCTTAGCATTTACGAGAATAAAAAACCACATATTGAAAATAAATCTGATTGAATAATTTTTAAATCCTCTATTTGTTATAGTTTCCTATAATGCTAAGTTTTGTTTCAATTGATTAATAGGAACATTTTGCTGTTGACCTTTTTTGTTTGAGCTTTTCGGATCAATAGTGAAACGAAAATTGCTATTTTTAAACTAATTATTTTACTGAATCTAAATTGACAAAAAATTGAAAATAAATTAAATAAAAAGAGGACAAAACTCGATTAACTGTTTTTTTTTTTTATTAAAATCATATAATTGAGTTTGACATCGAAGATTGAGTTGTTCTTCATATTTGATATTCATTTATGAATCATACTAATTAAAGTATTTGTTAAGACTCATGTTGTATACTCAGGAAGTCAAAGATGAACTTGAATATACTACGTCATTTCTTGAATATGCATCTGCATGTCAGACTAAAGTCGAAAAGCATTATTACACTTTGATGAATTCGAACAATGTGCATATCATCTGTTCTTCATTGTAAAGGAAGGATATCAATTAGTATTTCTATATCCTTTGCTAAATGAGATTTCTCAATTTTTATGTACTTTGAGAGCAGTTCACATTGTGTGGTAAATGAAATAACTATTCACTATAGACTGAATATTGTTTCTTCAAGTGTCAATTATATAACTTTGCTCAGGTTCATTAAATCCTAATCTTTAGAAATTCTGCTATGCATTGAATTTTTATCTTTTTGTATGCACAAAATCATCTTTAATCATGTACAGGTCGATAAAAGAGAAAAATAATGAGTTTTTAAGCGAGAGACAGAAAAGAAACATTGGCACATGATAAATCATTTATGAAAATAAAAAAGACCTTTCTTTTCTTTTGAACTCAGTCTAATTTGACTTCAATCGGAAATAAAATTTGCTTATTCATTTTGATTTCTAATGTAGCATTTCCAAGCCTATTTCTATGGATGATAAGATAAGGGAAAAATGACCCTCAAAAGCAACAAATCAAATAAATCTTGCAGAGAGCAGCATTTCTTAAATCTACAGATACATTCAATATAAAATCACTTTTTCAAATCCATAAGTATAAAATAGTACAAATGATTCATCGAAAATGACATTGAAGCAGTATCTTTAGTATAATTTTTCTGTTTAATTGATTAGGAAAGCAGAAAAATACGTTTTATTCACGAATAAAGATAATTAAAGAAGATTTTCTTACTCAGCAGGTTATTTTTTTTTCTATGTAATTCTTGTACAGATCAATATATCATCGAATATTTCAATAAACAGTTGAGTCATAAAAAGAAATCTTTATTTAGACGAACAATGATTTTCAATTGAAATTGATTATCAAATATTTAAATATGTTTTAACTTCAATTACAGAAAAAATTTATTTAAGATAATAATATATCGATATCTTTTTCATAAAATTTACATATAACGACGAATACATCCTAGACTAAATAATTGATTTTTATCGAAATATATTTCAAGAAAACAAAAAATTTATGAATACACAAATAACAACAATCCGAATTATGTATTATAAGTTGATTATATCCAGCAATGAGTTTATGATTGTTCTATCGTATAATGAGAAGTCTGATGAAATGTTGGATTAAATGCTGTATTGATAAATAGTTTGTTTTTTTACCTTTTTTTTTTGTTTAATTATTTGAAGTATATCAAAAGTAGTGGTATTGATACTACAATATCTTATAGAAAGCTTGGGGAATTTTTTTTTCAACATGTACTGTTACTTCAAGTAATACTCTATAATTCTGAAATATTTCATCATCCTTCAAGTGTTATCATAATATTCAGAGCATAGTACCAATAGTGGCGACTCAAGGGAAAACTATAGAAACAAGTTTATCAAATTTTTATTTCGTCAAACGTTTCAAATAATCCTTTTGATTGTTTGAGAGTGCGGACGAAAGTGCTGCTCTTCACTTCATGGACAGCCACGTCCCACTCTCAAAGTGTCAGGAGGAATACTTTAAACGTCTAATGAAAATACATATTTGTCTAAGCGTTCTAAATCAAAATTTAACAAAGTAAAATGAAAACTACGAAAAAATAATATCATCGGTTGTTTTTATCATTATATTTGGAATATTTTGCTTTATGAATAATATTTGTCTAAAAAAGCATCAATTAATTTATCAAAGTCATTCTCTAAAGTAATTATTTATAGAAATGGAATATAGTAAAACTTCTCATAGTGAACACTTTGTGGTTCAATGGAATGGTTTTACTGGACTTTAACCTCTGTGTAGTAGATACACTTTTTAGATGTTCGGACAGAGTCATTTGAATCTATCACTTAGCTGCTAAATTCATTGACATCGATTCTTCTATTCCTGTTTTCAACTAGTGTGATACTACTAATCAGCAACCAAGAAGGTTAGTGTAGGTTAATGAAAAAAGCCGATGACGATATTTCTCTGGAGGAAAGCCTACCAATTTTGTTTGAATCATTGGAAATGATCAAAGTTTTTTTTTTGTATGTAGCTTCGTAAGTGAGACCAATAATTTAGTAAATTAGAATTGAAGGAGGCTCATTTCGGAACGGAAAAGTCACATTGATTTCATTCGTGTTACTCTTTCAAAAAGGAAGTCACTATTTGTTTGTTGAATTAGTCATTGTCAAATGGATCAATGAGCTTTGCACGACTTATAAAAAAATTGCAGAAGGGAAGGGAAAAGTCATACGTTGCTCAACAGTACATAGGTATTCGCTTGGCCAATAACACGAAAAATAATTTCGATAGTGAGAATAAACTGTAAGACTCACTTTCACCTTATTCAGTTCATGATCGTTGATTAACGATTAACTAAAACGTGATATCTTTGCTTCAAAACCCAATACGAATGAGACTAGCACATCAGCCTTGAAGTTTCATGAGGTCTTCTGAAATCTTATGAAGCCTGTGAAAATCTCGCGACATCTTATGAATTTTTCTGAAGTATTTTAAAGTTTCTTAAACATTTCAAATTTGCTATTTTTCCTCTCATCCAAACAATATATTGTTGTCTTCAATATCTAATTGCAATCGACTAACATTTTCCAGAACTGAAGTGTATCAAAGATTATTTCAATAACGATTTCTTTCTAATTTTGTTTTCAACGATAAAAACACAAAATGAAAAAATTAATAAGATACTTGAACTAGTTTGTTATCATCCTGCAGATATCTATAAAAGTATGCCATTATTATTTTTTTCTTCAAAACACTTAAAGTCTTTATAGTAAACACTTTTGAAAAATGCAAGGGACATTGACTATAAAGAGACTTTACTATATGTCAATAACAAAATACAAGTAAATCTTATAAACAATGATAATCTACATACGACGTTAGTCTATTAATAATTGATAGTTCTTGTTTTTTTTCGAAATTATTATTCATAATTGATAATCTTTAATTATTATTTTTCAAGAAGAATATAAAACTAATTCGAGAATTTTTGCTACAGTGATGCATGTATTTATTTTATATAGGAAAAAAAACAAATACGGGATAGAAAACATGAAAAAAAGGAATTAACTTGGAGTCGAATCACTGGGATCTTCTTTTTGTTTATTTCGATTAGAACTCTCCGTTGATGATACTTTCAGTTCTTGATCCAGACGTTCTTTTGCTCGATAAATTTTCGATTGTAAATAAAATGAACCACCTTTTGTTTTATCATTGAGATCAAATAAATGTTCATACTGTTTTTTTATTTTTTCAACATCATTTAGATCTGCATCATCATGAATATTAAGAATTTGTTTTGCTTCCTAAAGAAAAAACAAACATTCATATACAATTTTAAATTAGACAAACAAAAAAATTCGAAAAAATGTACATACTTGAAGGCTTATACCAGTGACACGATCAGCTTGCGCAGTTTTAGCTGTTGTTTTACCACTTTGTTGTGCAGTTTTTGCATCTAAATTTAAATTATAAAACAAAAATGAAAAATAAAAATTTTTCTTTTTCTTACATTGAAGTTCTTGACGAAGTGCACGAGTAAATGCTCGACCAATAACTTGTGAACCTAAAATCGCTATTTGAATAAGATGTTTGGCCTTTTTAATCAAAAAGAAAAATAATTAAAAAAAATAATCGATAAAAGAAAAAGAACATGTCTATACATACCATTTGATTGATTTAGTTTTATGTAGATTAAAGAAATTATATTTAATGATAATTATTAATCAAAAATGAACATTCATACATTGATGGATCAAATATCCATAAAAATCTAAAATGATGCAATGATTTAGAACTATGATATTATTAACTATTAAAAAGAAATAAATAAAACTTATTATTCAATTGAATAACTGATGATGAGATGATGATGATGGAGAGAACAACCTAAGACACTAGAACAAGCGAGAAAATGAATTTTGTCTTTAAATATCAGTCGGATCCTGATTTTATTATATGTTCGAAATAAAATAACTTAACATAATCAATCAATATAGATGTCGTACATTATCATAACGAAAAATCCAAAGAACAAATTCATATTATAGAAAATAGTTATAAATTAATTAAAAAAAGAAAAGAAAAATCGATTCTTTTATTTCTTATACTCAACTCATCAAATAAATTACATGAGCTTCCAAATGAAATTTTATAGATTTTATTTGGAACAGAACACATACTAATATATATATATGAACTGAAACGATTAAACTGAAAGCAAAACAATCGTATTCAACGTATTCCAAGTTTTGGTCGAGACTGTTCAGAACAAGCTTCCAGTTATCCGTTGGGACGCACTGTACTGATTTAATTAAATGAAGGATAATAGTATCAGATTGAACAAATTAATCGAAATTAAGTTCAGAAAATATTCGTTAACTTCAGTACAACAGCAAAAAAATAAATGGAGAATTCATTTCTTCTTCATACATGGATGGCATCACAACTATTTCCTAACTTTGAAATGATAATTTGCCCACAAGTAGGAATCAGTGGATTTTCATTCGAATATAAAGTATCTAGAGCAATGTAAAATGAAGACATTTCGATCTGAAACTCTGTTCATAAATAGATCTTATGATTTCTATCATGGTAAGAAGATTTGCAACAAAACTCAATGTTGCCTTCTGGAGATATTAAACTTTTAAAAATGTCCTCCTATCAGAGACACGTGAAAATCATGGATCTTGTCCTTAAAATTTAGTGTCTTAAAAAGGAAACATCCGTTTGAAATGATAATTTTCCTGCAGTTGAGAAGTCATGAGACATATTTAAGAAAGGAATTTCAGATCGAATTATCGTATTTTTATTTTGATGTTGATACCTTAACCTACACGGAGAATTTACTAAAACAATTGTAACTTTTGAGTCAAAAGTTGATAGACAATAATGATGTTATGGCTGCCTTACGAGAAAATCTCTCAACTGATTAATCGTTATTGCGTCCGAACAATGTGAATCATGTAGACCCTAATGAATTATGAATACTTTGAAAAAAAGTTCGTGCTATTACCTTATTGCTACAGAGGTACTGCATTTTTACTATATTTTTCAGCGGAATGTCATGGGTGCTCGTCAAAAATAAAAAAAAATGATCTTCAAATTTCAACTCGAAAGGTTCCATAGAGATACGTCTTATCGACAATAGATTATTGTGAAATTTTCTGATCGATATGTCGTTCTTATTTCAAGATACAGCAATGATGAAGTCGTTTCTTTCACATCATTCAAATAGTTTGACAGATACGATGTTCTTGTTTCAGAACACAAGTAAATCAAAAGATCTAAAGTTTTCACAACAAACTATTCTGTTTAAGTTTGACCTCTATTCAAAATTGTATATCGAAATTTAAAAATCAGTTTTTTCAAAGAAATAGGAATTTGGTCGTACTGACTTTGACAGTAGATTAGATGAGACTAAGGACTGTGCAAACATACAGAATCTACTTATATGCACAAACGAGTATTATGTAAAATGTTTCGAGTTTGAGGAAATTCAGGAAAATAATTTAGCTGTCAAAAATAGTTTTCGTTTTGGAATTTAAGAAAAGAAACGTTGCTCTTGCATCCCTAAGAGCATATGCTTTGAACACAGTTTCTGTGATTTATTCATTAATAGAAAGTACCAAAACAGTTTGTTCTTTTATTTAACTATACAATCTATTACTTTTTCAATGGAAACTGCTTGTATTAATTCATGATTAAATTCCTCTTTTTTCGAATTCTTCGAATATACAAGTAAAGAAGAGAATACGACTTTTCCTTTAGTTTGATAGCAGGGAAAATTTTTCATTCTAAAAACAGATTCTGTACTCTTGATGCTGTGTCCAAAATGAACAAATAGTTTGCTAACAAAATACCATAGATTTTCAGTATCTCGACAGTAATAACGTAACAACACGAACTCTTTTCAGAGTATTCATAATTCATTAGGATCTTACATGATTCACAATGCTCCGAAGCAAAAAAGATTAATTACTTACGAAACTTGCCTCGTTACATTACTCAACGATATTAATTATTTCTTATATCACTCATGAGAATTGAAATTATGATAGTTGCACTCAAGACATTTTACAAGACGTTTATGATATGATAAGATGAAAATGAAATTAATGGAATGTCCTATGTCAGAGAGCAGTTGCTGAAAAATGAATGATAAGACATAACTAATATAGTACAGACATTGCATGAAATAGAAGAGAAAAAAAATCATAAAACATTATCCATTAATTTTTTCATTAGAATTATTAATTAGTTAAGAATTTAAGATATTCGTTTAATTTTCAATAAAATAACAAAAATAAAATTTCGAAATTTGTTAATTTGATTATATTTTTCATATATTTGATTTCGTTATATATTTATTTTTCTTCTTGTTTCAATCGGGTAACAAACAATTCACTGTTAATTGTATTCGTTACCTCATCATGTTTTTATCTTTTCTTTAACAATAAAAATAACAATAACAAACAAAGAAAAAAAGAAATCGATTTTATTTGCCATTTTTTTTTTTTGTTTTTTGTTTTTCGTTATGAAGTTTATTATGATTAGAAATAGAGTTGAAAATCATAACGACGGCAATGATGATGATTGGAATAATATAATTTTTGTTGATGATCATTCAAGGAAAAAGTAATTACCAGCTGATTTTTGTTCCATATCCTAATAAAGGAGAAAAAAAAAACAAAATAATTAAACAAGATATTTTTATTTTATAAAATTTTACTTTAACGGAATCTCTTTTATTAATACGTGGTCGAGCATTTTCGGGATCTCGTCGAAATGTTATTTCAAGTTGTCTTAAAAATGAATTCATACCAGGTACAAGTGCTTGGGGTCTAAACAATTAAAATATTCTATTTCTTATATAAAAATTTGAATTAATTTTCTTACTCAGAAGCATGAGCTTTAATTGATGGTTGTCCATCAAAGACAACAACACGATCAGCCAAATATGTTGCCATAATAAAATCATGTTCAACAACAAAACCTGTTTTTTTACAATGAAGAATAAATCTAAATGAAATTTATATTTATTAATCTTGTTTATTTTCGAAGTTTTATCTATAATTTTTACCGTTTAATAACTCGTGCAGCATGTAAACGTTGTTCAGAATCAAGATAAGCTGATGGTTCATCAATTAAATAAACATCAGCTGGTTTTCCTAAACATAAACATAATGCAACACGTTGTAATTCACCACCAGATAAATCTTGAACCTTAAATAAATAATTATAAATAAAAATTAATTTTCATTAAAAAGAAATTAATTTACATCTTGATCAATAATATTATCAATTTGAAGTGGTCGAGAAACATCCGTTTGAAATTGTGGATGAAACATAGCTTCGCGAATTTTTGCAAGAAGTAAATCACGAACTTTGCCAGCAAATTTTGGACTAATCTTTTGTGGTTTATAAGAAATATTTAATTGAGGAATTTCGACTAAAGGTTTAAATAAAATAGAAATTCAATAAAAGAAAATGAACAATAAAATTAAATGATATTTGTAGAATTTTGGAAAATAATTTGAAAATTTTACTCATTTTTGAATAGTCTTGAAAAAGGTATCAGATAAATTTTAAGAAATTCCTTTTTGTGTATTTATTCGTCATATTACGAAAAAGACCATTCCTCTCTACTTTGAAAAGCTTGTAACCTCCGATCTGGAACATGTGTTTTTTAGTTCCAACCTTGACTTTCGTCTCACGAGGAAGATGCGGAAAGTGTCTGGCTTCATGTTCAATCATTTATATTTCATTCGATAGATGTTAATGAGATTAGAAAAAGCTTTAAAGGATTCGGACTCATGACCTTATTGGCAAAGAACTATGGCCGTTGTTGTACTTAAATATTTATTAAGAGTTACTTATTCCCGGAAAGAAAACAAAATGAAAAGTTTTGGTCTGACGTTTCTCTTGAGAAATTTATCTACATCTAATGACTATTAAATCTATTTATAGGCGTAATTTAAGGCTAAAACTCTTAGTTATAATTTTTCCGGAAATGAGTGACTCTCAATAACAACTTCAGTACAACGACCATAGCCGTCCGCTAGTAGGTCATGAGCCCGAACCATGTAAGACTTTTTCTTACATTAATATAATCTATCGAATGAGATATGAATGAATCAAAACAAAGCTAGGCATCTCAGGTACTACCAACAAATCAGTTTCGGTCTCGTTTCAGTGTGAATCTTGAAAAACCTGAACTGATTTCATCTCTGCTTGCCATTGGTATCAGTTAATCCGTTACTTATCTCAGTCTAGAGGGAACTATTCAAACATTTATTCGTATCAAATTTGCACAGCCTAAAATACAGATTTTTTGATTAATTCAATTGATGAATATCACTTTATATTGATACGGATGATTCACTCAAAATATCAGAACATTTAACAATAATCTTTAGCCTTAATCTTAGCAAGTCTACAGATTTTAATCTAGCAAGCAAGTTTCAAATCGGCAAACTGATTATACATATCTCTAATTCTGAAGCAACTCAAATTTTGATTAACAAGTAAAACATAAAAAAGAAATTTTATATTTATAAATAAACTAACCTCCTGCATCGGGTTCTAAATTTCCAGCTAACATTCGAATTAATGTTGTTTTACCTGGAAATAAATAAATTTAAAATTCGAATCATCTTTTTTTTTAATTCTATTACCAGTTCCATTTTCTCCAAGTAAAACAATAATTTCCGATTCTGTAAATGATCCTGCATCAACAGCTAAACTAAAAGAACCTAAAGTTTTGTTCATAGTTGGATAATAATGTGTTGATAAACGTTTAACTTCTTCTTCAGATGCTGTTTCAACAACTTTAAATGTTAATGCCACATCACGAAAACGTAAATTTTCTGTTCGAATAAAACCTTCCAAAAATATGTTGATACCTTAAAAAATAATCAAATTTTAACAACAAATAAATAATATTTTTATTTCTATTTAACCTTCACGAACAGAAAATGGCATTGTAACAACACCATAATGACCAGGTGAACCATATAAAACACAAATAAAATCGGATAAATAATCGAGTACCGAAAGATCATGTTCAACCACAATAATGTATCTTCACAAAAACAATAAAAACAGCAAAGTTAAGAATCAAACGAATGTAATAGATCAAATGAACCTCTTAGTATTTATGATGATAGGAAGAAAGGAATAGAGATAAACGATGAACAGTTTTATAATCTTGTCTGGTTTATATTAAGTTCAAAATTAACAGCTCATCTATGCATCCGACAACTTCGATATTGAAATACAAAGAAAAAGATCAATAGTCGACATTAGAAATTGATCGATCTAAACTCTCACATTTCATCCATTTATATCAGTGACAAGAACAACCACTAAGAATTGTTCGTTTTATCCAGCATAATATTCGGTATCTTTTGTTATTGTACAAGATGAACTAGTCCTAATCTGCGAAACAACTAGACAGGATATTTTTTTTTATAATATTGTATAGTCATAGAACAAATCTTCAATCAAAGATAAACATGAAATTTACGATGTAATATGCGATCCTATATACTAACTACTGAGGGAAGTTCTCCGACTGATTTACTGTTTTTTGAGTCACAATTATACACATCCTGTACATCTTGATGAGTTATGAATACTCGAAGAAGAGTTCATGCTGTTACCTTATTGCTGCTAAGATTACACATTTTCACAGTATCTTTCAGCGCCATACCGTGGTTCACCATCAGGTATGCTAGAAACAATGATTTTCAAATTTCGATTTAAAATTTAGTAAAAAGATAGATTTTTATGAAAATAGTTTATTATGAAGCTTTCAGCTCTTTTGGTTTGCTTCTATTCTGAAACAAATACATCGAATCTATCAGTGTATATGAGCAATATACAACACAAGCTTTTACCATAGTCGTATCTTACGATAGGAGCAAAGAAAAGATCTGAAACTTTTGTGATGAACTATTCTCGGTAAGACTGACCTTGATGGAAAATTTCAAGTCAAATTTCGAAAATGAATTTTCCTTGTGTTTCTAAGGGAAACCACTATATTAAGTTAAAAACTCCCGTGAAAATACAGTAACTGTGCAGCAATAAGCTCAAAGCAGAAACTCTTTCTAAAGTGTTCCTACTTCATTAGGGTCTACATGATGTATATAGTCTCGATTCAAAAGCAATTAATCAGTTAGGAAACTTCCCTTGTAGGCCATCAATTTGATTTTTTATGTTTAAATACTCGTAGAGATTTACTGAAATCAAGATTCTCAGTTCTGGTACATGTCTATATAAAATTATTCTTAATATGATACTCGTTATCAATTTGGCTGCAACAGTCTAATTACCTATTGAATTTTCTTATTTTACTTATCGAACTCTTCGTTTTGATTGTCAAAAAAAAATATGCTTCATCTCTTTTTTAGACAAATAAATATATTCAAAATTCTAACAAGTTCATTTATTCTTTTGATATTCTTTATTAATAGAAAAGTATACTAACCGATTTTCTCTAATAACTTTGCGGATAGCCAAAGCAGCTTTTAAACGTTGTTTAACATCAAGATAACTTGATGGTTCATCAAACATGAATATATCTCCTTTTTGTATACAAACCATAGCACATGCAAATCTTTGTAATTCTCCACCTGATAAATCGGCTATTTGTCGATCTTTAACATTTGATAGATCGAATGATTCAGTTATTTGATCTTGATTACCCAATTCATCTTTTTTATCTAATAAATCACGTACAAGACCCTAACACAAAGAATAATTTAAAAAAAAATATAATCATTTTTCATTCATCAAATCTGTCTTACTTGAGCAGCTCGTGGAATTTGATCAACATATTGTGGTTTAAGTATAGCTTTAAGATTTTCTTCAAGAATTTTTGTAAAATAATTTTGTAATTCACTACCACGAAAATATTTTAATATATCTTGCCAATCGGGTGGTGTCTAAATAAAATAATGAAAGACAAATTTGATAAAAAAAGAACAAAAAATAAAAACTATTCATTTTTCTATACCGAAAATTTGCCCAAATTAGGTTTTAATTTTCCAGCTAAAACTCGTAATGCTGTTGTTTTACCTGTACCATTTGAACCAACAAGACCTAAAACTTGCCCTGGTCGTGGTGTTGGTAAACGATGCAATTTAAATGAATTAGGTCCGTAACGATGTGTTGTTTCTTTATCAAGATTACTTGGTAAATTAATAATTGTTATCGCATCAAATGGACATTTTTTCACACAGATACCACAACCAATACATAATTCTTCTGATATATGGGAAATTTTTGATTCAGGTGTTACTTCGATACATAATTTTCCTGTTTTATTAACTGGACTATAATAATATATAAGCAAAAAAAGAAATAGAATTTAATAAAATACAAAAAATCAAAATAACAAACCATGATCGTTTGCATTCTTGATTACATTTTTTCGGTTTACATCGATCGTTATTTACTATAGCAATACGTGTCAAAGATTCTTGTTCACGATCTTGTCTTTCAGGACGGCGACCGTGCATTTTTTAAAATCTATTTTGTTTCTCTTAGAACAGAAGAGAAATCTAAAAAATGATTTATATAAGTTTCAAACATTTTCAATACGAAGAAGGAAAAGAATAATTTCACAAGAACAACGCGTCTAGAAAATTGAGAAATTTACGTAATTTATCGATTTCGACATAGTTGGTATATTCGTTGAATATTTTAATAAGAAAAAATTCTCGAAATCTTTTGTTCTATTAATTTGAAACTCCCTTAATATGAGACAACATTCATCTTTGTCTCGTAGGTGGCACTTTCGAGATTAATAGTTTTGAATAAGGACCGATGAGGTTCATCTAAAAAATAAAATAAGCAAAGCTCAAATAAAAAGTGGCGAACAGGTTCTATCGACTATTTGTAAAATGATAATCTTCAACACATAGATACATATAGAAATGCATTTTACTAGGTTTTTGGTAATAAAAGAAAAAACAAATCAACAACAAGAAGCATTATTATTGGTACTTGGCATAAAAAAATGATGTATTCGAAAGAAAACAAAATAGATTACTACCGTATATGAGTGACCTCTGTCCTACGGAAAGTTAATATTATACTCTGAAACAAAAGTAAAGAGATCGAATTTTGTAAATAAGATTTATTCTTTCGTTCAATTATATATATATATTAACATTGATTATTGATAAAACAATATTAATATCCAATTCACTTTGTTACAAAAACAGCTGTTTTTGTTATGACTTCTTTTTTGTTATCATATTGCATATTCGGTTGATTTCGTATTCTTTGCCCCTCTTATCATTATGTCCTCTCTCAAAAGACAAACCTAAGATTATCTGTATAATAACATCATTCAACAGAAAAGTGTCATGCAATCTCCACAAATACAGAACGATTTAGGTAATGATGGTGGAAGTTTTCGTGTGTATCCACAACGATTCTGGGTTTTATTTATGTTTGCTTTTCTTACTTTCAATCAAACTATGTTCTGGTTAACTTTTTCACCTATTGCTGGTTCTGCACAAAAATTTTATAATATATCTGAAGCTACAGTCGATCTTTTACTCAATTGGGGTCCAATTATATTCCTACCTACACTTCCTTTTGTCTATCTATTACTTAATACTCATCATGGTCTTCGTAAATGTGTACTTATTTTTGCTATTGTTCCTGTAATAGCTACATCATTACGTCTCTTTCCACTGATAGTCACATCATCAACTAGTCACAATTTTCATGATATAGCTATTCCATTTCTTCATATTGGTCAAATTCTTATTGCAGCTACAGGTCCAATAGCGATGGCACTTGTATCTCAACTATCATGTATTTGGTTTGCTCCACATGAACGAACACGAGCAACGACTATTGCTATTCTTGGTGCAGCTTCAGGTGGTGCTGCTGCATTTATTATTGAACCACGTCTTGTATCTGAAGCTTGGCGTGTTCCTCATTTATTATATTTGCATACTGGACAAGCTACATTTGCATGCATTCTTACTCTTGCCTACTTTCCAGCAGAACCACCTTCTTCCCCATCTGTTGCAGCTGATATATTGAATGCACATCGATTAATAAAAACAGAACTGATTGAACGATTAAAAAGATTTGCACGTGATATTTTTCATTGTTGTCAAAATATATCTTGTGTTCTTATAATTATATCGGGTGCTGCCATGGGTGGTACATTTGCTGCATGGAGTGGATTATTTGCTACTATTCTTACGCCATTAGGCTATACAGAAATCGAAGCTGGTAAGACACTTTTTTTTATTCTTTTTTCTAATCGAATAGAATAATTGTTCTTTCTAAACAAAAAATAAAACAGGTTGGTTTGGTTTTGGTCAAACAGTAGCTACTATCATTGGATCATTGATCATGGGTTACATAGCTGATCTTCCACGATTTCAACGTTCATTTAAATTACTTATACTTATTTCTCTTACTTTTTGTTTTATATTTTGTTTATTCTTTCAACTTAGTGTACGTACTGTTATTTGGCCTAATAAACCTATATTACCATCAAGTTCCACTTCTATTGGAATTCTATTATCTATTACTGGTTTCTTCTTTGGAGCTACATCACCTCTTTTTTATGAAAGCTTAGCTGAAATCATGCATCCATTACCAGAATCTGTGACAACATCAATGCTTGTATATTTTTTTAATGTTGTAATACTTTGTTTTCTTGCAATGGCTCCAAAGCGATATAAATTAATGAATTTATTAGTACTTTTAATGATTGGAATTTGCATTTTAATGGTTTCATGTGCTCGATTTACATATAAACGTAAAGATGAAGAATTAAGAAAAAAACGAGAGCAAGAAAATCAAGCTACTTCAGGTGCATGTAATATCTAGGAAAAAAATTGTTTTCTTAAATAAATGGTTTAATTGGTTATCTAGCATACTGGAAATATCGTAGATGGTTTTCAACTTGATAATGAAACATGTGTTTGACAACAACGATATATTTCATCTATACTTGTTATAGCATCACCAATATGATACGTCTTCAGATATTTCTATGTTTGATTGTTCAATCCTTTAGATTAGAGGTTCATACAAGTCTAGACTGTCTATAAGAAGCTATGAACCAGCTCAATCAGTCTGTGTCCTTGTTTTTTTTTACTAATATGATGATGATAACAATAATTAAGTGAAAGTACAAGACTACTTTTTGAAAGAAGCCAAGTAACTTATGCATATTGAAATGATATCGTTAGGTGAAACATCTAATGATTGAATACAATAGAAAACTGTCGAAAAAAGGCAAAAAAGAAAAAGACAACATTAACATTAAGGAAAAAATACTCTGTTGTTGAGTAAGAACGTTTTCAATATATTTAATGAGCTAGTTGGCGTACATTTTATGATTTCTTGTGATTAGAACACATCGATCATTACCTGAGGCGAATAATGTTATGTATTTGTTAAACACTTAATACTTAACTAACTAGTAGTTACCTTACTAGTGCTCAACTAATTAGTATTGATTGAGTCATCAATAATGAGAAGTGCACTCATTGATTGAATACCAATTAAATAGACACCAATTATATGAGTACTCATTCAATGAATATTAACTAGGTAAGTGCTAATTAAATCACTAATCATGAACTAAATACTAATTAATTAGTTATGAATAATTTGATAATTATATCATGTCTTCCATTTGAGATTACAGTCAAAAGGACCCTATGCCTATTATAAATAAAAAAAACATGGACTACAGTTGATTAGAAAAGAATGAACAGGAGAAAAGTTAGCTTGAAATAACGATTTTTATTCAGTTTCGAATTCACTCTTCTTGGACAAGAGAATTGTATAAATTGTGAACAAGGTTTTATGTCTATAAAGGATCAGTACTAAAAGATGTATGTCTAGTGATAATAACAATTAGAAATCCATCATTAGTAAATTTATGGGACATCTTTATTCTTTGTACGGGTTCATAACAGAAAATTGACAAAACGTTGGAAATATCATTTCATTTAATATGTCTTCTTTTGACAATTTTGCTTGATCATTGTTAAAAAATTATTATCATCGCATAATGTAAACAAACATCATTAGAAAAACAGTGTTTTTTTTGTACACTACTGTATCTGACTTGATGCTTTTGATTTTTTAACTACATTTATCATGAATTAACCCATTAACTGTTATTGGCGATACACTCGTCAAAATTTATGGAAAAATTGAAGACTACAATTCCTTAACTCGGTTTTCTTTGTATGCTCTACACTGAGTGGAGCTCACTCTATCGATTCTGATGCTTCGTATTGATTACGTTCCTCTATGTCAATTATGCCATTACTCATAATCAGTGTAGATCCACATCTTGAATACTATCACTGAGTTGACTGTTGTTATTCTTAAGTGTACTAATTTCTTGTTGATTGTTACTCCTGCTCTACGTTATAGTGAAAGGTTTAATCGAATAAGACGTGAATCGATATTCGAATGGAAAATTTGTGATTTGGCTCTTTGTGTTGATCCATATTTTCGTGTATACCATCCTTGCTAAGTCTTTTAACGAAACTTTGAATATCAAAAAATGCTTTTATAGGATTAAGCTTTTCATTCTTTCTTAACGAAAAGCGACTTTTGTATTCTGCATACAATAACTCAAAATATTAGCCCATAAAGGTTTTGCTTTATTCTTAAATATCTTTCAATTTCTAAAAGTTACTTTGCAAAAACTTTATTACTTAGTTTTAAAAACATTAACAGTGAAATGGTTTATTGTTAATTATTAGAGTCTTTATGAAAATTTATCAGACGCTTCGAAGATAAAGTATATAGTTTAATAGAAATTGTAGAGCAATTTTTTACTCTTCAGAATAAAAATTTCTGACAGAGATAAAGAAACTGTTTTTGATGCAATAGACCAATGAGAATCATAGATCTTATTCAACGTGCATTCGTTTAATTTTAATGGATATCACATATTATTACGAAATTCGAATCAAAATTAAGACTTTCTGATAGTCAAGTCGATGAGAAACGAATGTGAAACCATGTAAATAATTTCAAACCGGTAAATGAAAGACGTGTTCAACTATAAGAAAAAAACAATCTATTTGCTGTGGTGTTTTGTGACTGTCGAAGAGACATTATTAATGTAAGTTTAACTGACGGATCGAAAACAATAATCTGATAACTGTGAAAATAATTATGAGATCTTAAGAGAGCATCCATGAAAAGACCGAGTATCATCCCAGTATACAAAGTACTGATCGGAATTTAGATTTTTTATTTTTTATGTGGATTCGAAAGGCCATAGTCTAAAACTACCACCAAACCTAAATTTTCATCTCATTTGGATGCACTATAATAAAGTTAGCCAATAGCAACTTCTGAGCACAGTGAATTTATCATCATCAAAATAGTTAAAAACTGTCCCATAAATGTTTATTACGATTATGCTTCAATAAGTCAAATGTTTTTTTCGTACAATATACTAAAAGGTAGAGCATCAATCGCTGAAAAAAATGAGCTATTTTAACTATTACATTTGATCGGTTTACTCGGTTTCTGCAGTCCATCAGGAGTGATAGAGGTTACAATTTATCAGTTCAAAATGGTCGATTTTTAGCAGTATATCTGATGTCAGTTTTGAACTTAAAAAAGGCCACGCTGGATAGCATATATATTATGTTACTTTTGATTTTCTACAAAATGCTAAAAAAATATCGAAAAAAAGTTTGCCTTCGAGGCGAAACAACACTCACAAATCTGTTTCACAACGATAATAAATGATTTTTCAAAAGACACAAAACATTTTTAGTGATGAGACATGATTGTGAGTCAAAACGATTGTGATATTCAGAATCAACGTTAAAAACTAGATCTAATCGGATCAATTTTAAGAAATTCTTTTTTTCTATGAAAAACTGATCCATGGAAAACCACGGGGTAAGACTTTAATAAAATACAGCCGTGGAGGACTACAGGTAATTTCCCCTAGAATTGATGCGGTTAGATGTGGTTTTTGACGCTGATTTTGGATATCACAATCGTTTTGACTCACAATCATGTCTCATCACTAAAAACATTTTATGCCTTTTGAAAAATCATTTATAATCGTTGTGAAATAGATTTGTGAGCCTTGTTTCGCCTCGAAGATAAACTTTTTTTTAAATATTTTTTTAGCATTTTGTAGGGAATCAAAAGTTACATAATATATATGCTATCCAGGGTGGCCTTTTTTAATTTCAAAAACTGGCAGCAGCTATACTGTCAAAAATGTACCATATTGTACTCATAAATTGTGACGTTTCTCACTCATGTTGCACTACAAAAACTCAATAAACATATGATATGTAATAATTCAAATAGCTTATTTCTTTTTAATTTTTGTCTATTTTTAAGGTGACAGTACTCAGAAGTTGGCATTAGCTAACTTTATTATAGTACATCCAAATGAGATAAAAATTGATTTTGGTAGTTTTAGTCTATGCTCCTTCAAACACATAAAAAATCTAAATTTTGACCTGTGCCCCAGTTCTCTCATGGGTACTCTCTTACAAAACTATGTTGTTTTATCGCTTATTTGGAAGTTTCATTTTTCTTTCACATATTATATTTAACAGAGAAGTTATAGTCGCTCATCACTGACAACATCTTTTCGCATAGTAATAAAGTATTTGAGAATCTTTTATTCGTATATTTATGTTATTAATAATGCCAAAACGAGCCTATCCAAGTAAAAAGAAATTCATGAGTATACATAGGGAATTTCACCGTTGAGTAAAACATCACATACTGATTTGAATTAAATTAAGTGCACAAGTTGATTGAGAGTATAGATCAGGAAGAAATTGTCATAATAAAATTTGCCTAAGTTACTATTCAATTAATTTCTACTCTTTTATGCTGAGAAAAGTCAGCAGACAAAATGACGACCACATCCATAAAATCACAAAACAATATTAAGATATGCAAATCAACGAAAACATTTGTAATTGGTGCAAATATATGATTGAATTGCATAATAAGTGTGTGGTTGGAGAGTGTTTAGTTCATAAAAAGTATTCTGATCAACAGTTTTTTAATTTCTTTTTATTATTTAGTTGCTTTAAAAATAGTCACTCACTTGTAAAAAAAAAGAACTTTTCATCTGGAAAGAACGCTGAGATATCCATTGAACAAAGCTCAAAAAAAAAGAACAGCTGCTTTAGGCTGCACAAAGAGAAACAATCATATTTTCTCTCATATATATACAATTGTTTTTTTTTTTAAGTTTTCTAGAATTTCTCGCAGCTTGAAAAACACGCCTTCAGAACATGTACTTTGAGTTTAAAATAAAATAAGTTTCGGATTTGATTCTATCAAAAGTCTCAATTTCAACACGTTTTTTGCAAATTCTGTTCACCGAAATTAGTACTAGGTCTATATGCTAATGATGACTTGTAAAAACTTTGGAACACACAGAAAGATAGACCATGACAAGATCTACATTTTAGTAAAAAAAGAAAAAGTTTAGAACTTTCTATTCAATCAAACATCAGGATGAAACATGTATCCAAACTGGTTTTCTGTGCAAAATGTCCACTGAAATTTTCGACTAAAATAGCTTGGAATTCCGATTCACCATATATTATAGAATTCGTTGAAACTTGCGCTGCTCGCCTATAATCACAAATATTTTGTAGAGTGTATAGTCAATGTCAAAGCGATAAGCTGTTTTCTTCTCAATAACAGTGTTTTCCAAAAAAAAGATACCATTAACGACTGACTAGTTCTTGAAAATTGTTGTGCCAAAGCCATAACGAATAGTAAAATACATGGAAAATGGCACTTATATTTATAGACAATCGGTACAGCTCTATCAAATGTACTGCTGAGATTCTTTCTTATTCGAATCTTTTTTTATCGTCATTTTTGTTCCAAATCGCACAATGTCTATGCAAATCATTGATATAAATAAGTGTATTTATATCAATCATTATATTGAAGACATGTTTTTCATTGGAATACAAAAAACTTCTATAGTATATCAAATAAAACCCCAGTGTAAGTTATATTTTTTTAGAAAAATTATTGCAAAAAAATTTTGTTTTATGAAGAATTATTTAGCTGCCGAAGACGTCCAATTAGTTTCCAATAGACTTTATTTTGTGCACTACCTAATATATCATAATAAAAATCTTCAATTTGTGCTCGATGTTGATCACATATATCTTCATCATTTAAAGGTATTTTGTACAATGGATCATATAATCCTTTTGCCGCTATACTCGTGATTTCACGTCCAGCAAGCTTTTGTTTAAAAAATGTGTAAGAACTTTGTTGATATTTATAATCAGGATGATCATTTGGTGGTAATCCAGCATATTCTAAGATTTTTCCATTCACAGAAATCCATAGTGGAAGTGAAGGATCATCCCCATTATGCTTTTGTAGTTCGTCAATAGAGTAATAAGCATCAGATGGAAAATCTTTAAATGATTGAAAACTCGATGGTTGTTTTCGAGGTATAACGGGTTGTTCATCTTTCAATCGATTTATATACTCTGATCGAACTTTAAAATATTCACAACCTTTTATTATAATATCTAAATAACGTTCATATGGAACATCAGGTAGTTGATCCTTAATATTCATTTGATAAGCATAAGCTGTATGATATTGGCCTTGATAATCAATACATTTAACCTTGATTCGATGATAAGTAAATTCAATGAGATCTAAATTTGTCATATGTTCCTTTGAAAGCAGATGAATAACTCCATCAAATTCGGCACCAGGACAAGCTTCAAAATCAGCCATTCCACCAGAACCTCGAAATACAAGTTTATGATCCTTGCATGTCGTAGGATAAGACATGATTGGTATCAAATCACGAAGATAAAGAGATATTGGATTAATCATACTGCCAATAGCAAAATACCAAACATATGTTCGCCCATCAGGTAAAATAATTTCTGCTTGATCAAAATTATTATAAGCAAGAATGGAATCAATTATTGATTTTTCTAGTGGAACAAATTTTGAAAGTACAATATCACAAGATAATTTAAAATTAGCATCGCTTGCTGATGAATTTAAACGATGAAGCAAATTTGCCATTATTAAAGAAAAAAAGGGTAAGTTCTTATCACTATGAATGTAATTTATGACACACTGTGTATGAAGAGGAACGAAAGAAAACAATAAAGAGACAAAGTCTACACATCTGATTGGATTCTCGGTAAGTAAATAGCAACTGTTTTTAACAAGACTCATATGTGTAGTCGATTCAAATAAATTTTCATTTTCTTCATATAAAAAGACTCCTGGTCTTCTCTTATAATTCATCAAAGCTTCTGAAATCTTTCGTTTTACATTCGATCGCGTGACATGAGCCCTAAGTTGACGTCACCTAAGCTCAAAGTCATGAGTCCACATTATACCTTTTTTTCTGTATATGATGCAGTAAGTTGTCTGTATATGTTTTTTATAATGAATAAAAATAATTTGATGAATCTTCATTGCTTCTTCTTCTTCTTGTGAGGAAAACATAGAATTTCCTACGAAGAGACCTCTTCCAAGAGTCTCCTAACATAGGAATATTTTTGATACTAAGAGAAGAGAAGACATTTCACTTGCAGTTAAAACACAAGATTTCTTGTAGATTTATTAATTAAAAAAAAAGATATGTGCCTTTCAGAAAAGATGAATTGCTTACTGTATAAATGGTAGATGATCATACAAACAAAAATTACTTTTCAGTTAATCACATATTAAGCAAAGAAACTAAACGTTATTTAGGACAAATATTTTTAACGTTTGTTGCAAAAGAAAATATATGATCTTCACAGTTTTAGACGGTTGAATACTCATTTGCTTTGATCAATTTTGCCAAAGTGAAAGAGAATTTCAAAGACATAATCTGAAAAAGTAACACACAAGTCAAATATATGTCTTAGCAATAAACTTACCATAACAAATGCCATGAATGCAAAGAAAAACCCAAAAAATACGATGGCTGCATATCCTTGACTAGTAACACCATAAGCAAGAGTTACTGCCATAATAACTAAGGTGACATAAACAAATAAAATACATGCTGCTATAAGAAGAAACACTCCAATTGATGCAAACTAACATTTAAAAACAAAAATAAAACAATTAAAGAAGATAAAATAACATACTATAAGTAATCCAATTCGATGTTGTTTATATGTAGCTGCAAGACCAAATATATAATATATAGTTAAACTAATCCCTGGTATCAATAATCTAATACCATTTGAAATATTCGCTGAATTCTTAACTAATACTGAGGAAAATCCAACACCAAAAGTAACAACACATACAAACTATACAAATATTGATTTTTACAAAATGCTCTTATCAAACATTCAGTTGAACTTACCGATTGTATTAAAAGAAGGATAAGAAGATATTTCTTAATCCGAACTATATTCTGATTTTCATCAGATAATGATTGGTCAATTTTTTCATATTCATCTAGTGGCATTGTCTTCTCCGTTTGGGGTGGCATATTGAAGAGAATCTTTGTATAATATGTAATTGATAATATTTTTGAAAAGAATATTCCGGCATTTTCTTTATTATTGATGCATGTAACAGCTGTCATCAATCTTGACTCGTTTTCATTTTAAACTTAGAAAAAATGATACATTTTGATATTTACGGTTTGTTATCAATTGTTTCCTATATCGAATAGAATATTTTAATGTGTATTGATGAAAACATAGAATGGAGCTTACGATTGATTCATCATAAATCAATTCACTGATGAATATAAATTGGTCGATACTAAATATGAGAAATAACAAGTGATGATTTCTGTTCTCTAATGTAAATGTTGTCGATCAGTTAAGATTCGAATTTATTATGTCAAGAAAAGATTTAGTAATTACAAATGAGTTTGATAATTTTAAAAGGATTTTTAGTTCTAGTTGAAAGAATTTCAAGTTCTAATGACAGTATTTTCATTTTTTTTTGCTGTCAATTGTCTTGAAAAACTCGTTTCTTTTGATTGACACATGCATAAATAGAATTAAAGTACACGACGTTGTCGACCGTCACAGTAAACACTTTCAGATAAGTTCATATTTTGACGGTTTATCTAACTTGTCGGCTTTTAAAATGTTTAGATTATCAAATTGATCGTAGCGATTCTCGAACTTACGAATTGAATTGATTTTTAATCATCATCTTTTAAAGCAGAATGTTTCATTTTTTTTCTTGAATATATCCATCGACTCAGTTCGATAGTCTGACATTAAACTTGACTCTTCTTCACTAACCGAACTGGGTCTAGGATAATAAATATCTTCGTCAAATATTATTATATGACCTATACATTGGTTGGTCTGTATATTATTGTTATCAAAATTATCTTTATAAACATCAATTCGAAATGTACCATTCAAAACCTGATGCAAGAAAGACTCATTTTATCAACAATGAATAATTATGAGCAGGAGTAAAATATAGCCAAATGGTTTGCGAATGATGTCTAATAAATACAAATAGAATATTGAGCAAATTAAAATTGTAAAAATTTATTGTTTTCATTAAATTTATTTCATCGAAATCTTCTATAAACAACAACTATTATATTTCACTTCTCCATCATCAACTTCAATCGATATTTTTCGAGTATACATTCACCTATTTTCTTTATCTGTTTTATGTCATCTATCCCCCTGGACAAAAATAGTTCGACAAAGTATTTTCAATAAATTATCACTATAAATCAACATTTTGGAGAAAGTAATTATAGATTCTGATAGCCCGTTAAACTCTCTACAAATCTCTACAAACATCTTTTGAATTGCGTTTGTTCTCGGGAAAAAAATTCAAGCTCAACAAAGGCACCCTCATCGTCAGATTCCCCAGAAATGCATTTTTTGTTTCTTCATCTACTTGTATTTCAAATTTATTTTGAATATAGAAACATATTATTACAAAAGTAAGTATGTATTCTGAAAGCGCGTGAAATTCTCTATCATTCTATATGTTTATGTCTTGTCTTGCATGTATCTGTTGCAACAAATAAATGCAAAACAAGACATAAATACATAGGATGATAGAAAATTTCACGCGCTTTCAGAATACATACTTACTTTTGTAATAACATGTTCTTATATTCAAAATAAATTTCAAATAGATGAATAAACAAAAAATGCATTTTCTGGGGAATCTAACGATGAGGGTGCCTTTGTTGAGCTTGAATTTTTTTCCCGAGAACAAACGCAATTCAAAAGATGTTTATAGAGATTTGTAGAGAATTTGACGGGCTATCAGAATCTATAATTACTTTCTCCAAAATGTTGATTTATAGTGATAATTTATTGAAAATACTTTGTCGAACTATTTTTGTCCAGGGGGATATATAAACAATAATAAATTCATTATATTTATTTTGTTGAATAGAAATTTATATTTCGATAGTATTTTGTTTCAGTTCATGAATATAAGGGTATTCAACAATGAATGCAATTTCGATAGATAATAAATGCAAATAAATTATTTTCTTTTTATATCGACTTAATATTTTTGGATGTATTATATTTATTACATGAACATGAGAATATTGAATGAGTGATGAAAATTTTTGAAAAAAAAAGATTTTTTTATCTAAAATATTTATTTATACGAGTAAGAAGTCGTTGTTGGCAATTTTTAAAAAGAATGGTATATTACATTGCGTTTACACTTCATAGTTATGATATTAGAGCATAATGAATGATTATAAGCAACAATAAAATTCAAAGTTAAATTCTTTGTCTATATAGTACTATAGCCAATAGTATATAACGCATAGTCATTCTTGGCCAATTTTGGATGGGATCTTTTCATAGCATACCAATTAACTTTTTATTTCTGTTGGCTTTATTGTTCATTTTATTATTATCAAAACGAAAACGAAAAAGATGATAAACTCTATCAAATAAAAACACAAACAATCAAAATCTACTTAAACTAAAGAAAACAGATAAAATATGGCTCCAAAACAGGAACACAGGTAAAATCTATTTCTATGTAACAGGAACTGAAATTGAAGAGTCAAAAAAATTGAAATGTATACATTACAACAATCGTTTATTTTTGTATTTTGCTATCACTATCAGAGAAAAGAACTATTCGAATTTTTATATAAATTCTGTGTAGTGGGCTTTATTTTATGAACTTTTTTACTAAATTAGTGAATTCATCCTGTTTAATATAACTATTCATATTATAGTTGTCATTTTTAAGAGAATTTCTTAAAATTAATNAAGCATATTTATGCACAAAAATCGCAAAAAAACTTAATACAGTACGCCTCAAAAGTCTCGTATCACTTATTTGTTTTTAGCTGTGTATTAAAACTACAATACATTAATTTTATGTGATTATATGCTTGAATAGCACATCTCAAGTACTATCTATATACACCTATTTCATACGAAAAATCCTTGAATATTAAATACAATGAAGACAAACAAATTTCAGTACTAAGACAAAAATGACTTACAAAAAGACAAAAGGATATTGTTGCTATAGAACACTTCCATGGTTAATTAATCACAAAATATTCAGAAAACTTTTTATTTCGTCATATTTTGTAGAGCTTTTCTTCTGGTCATTTTGGTTGCAAAAACATTTGGGATTTTATTGAAAAATGGCGGTATTATAGTCAAAATATTAAACACTGGAAAACATCGTGTGTCCCAAAATGGTTGCAACATAGATTGTTTTGCAAATATCTCTGTACAGAAAACTGATAAAATCTTGTTTTTTTTACTCAAAAGATGTGCCATGAAAAGCTCTGTAAAATCTGTATAAACAATTCCTGTTGCAAAACAAAAAAAGCCTTCCAAACATTTTTATTATTATTTTGTCTTGTTTTTAATGTAGTTTTTGTCTAAGTACTGCAGTTTGTTTGTCTTCATTGTATTTAATATTCAAGGATTTTTCGTATGAAACAGGTGTATATAGAAAGTACTTGAGATGTGCTATTCAAACATATAATCACATTAAATTGACGTATTGCAGTTCAAATATACGACTCGAACCAAAAAAGTGGTACTAGACTTTTGAGGTGCTCTGTAATTGTGATTTAGATGAAGTGCAATGTGCTTTAAGCGTGTGTCAATTTTTAATAATTTTTCGCCATAACTGTTGATTGTTCGGATGAAATGCCATGATTATAAGTTATCTTTACAATATTCGCTTCAAATTAGTTTTCAATATAATGTTTCATAAGTTTTGATTGAGAAAAAGTTAATGGACAAATAAAAAATCCTAATGAATTCTATTGAACCTAACAAATTACAGAACTCATCCGAGTCCATAAATATTTGAAGAAAGCAACTGAATTGTATAAGAGTTGGAAAAGATATTCAATGACCCTTAGCAAACAAAGTAAATCCATCAGTTACTAAGAATTCATAGATGAAAAATACACTAGAGAATAAGTATAATTAGTTCTTAGTACTTAGAGATACGACGTCGTAATCTTTTGCAAAAAAAATAGCGGATTCTGAATTCCAACAGAATCAAATAAGTTCAAACAGATTTTAATGAATTTCGATAAATTCACTAGCGTGTTCGTTTGAGTTCAGCAAGAATTGAATATCTGAGACCTACAATTTTGTTTTTGAAGAAACTAGTAGAATTTATATGAATAGTATAAAAATGAAAATATGAAATTAATTAACCTAAATTGATATATATAGAACGAAAATTGAGATGTTGCATTAAGGAAGACAATTCATTGTTTGAAAAAACCTTGATATTGGACATAATGATCCATGATACGATTTCCTTGTTCCATCCCATCTTAGTCAGAGCACTTTAATAAGATGATTATTTTTGCTGAACATACAATCTCTAGGTTCAATATTAAATAATGGAAAAGATTATTTTAATAATGATGTCGGATTATGTTTTCGCAGATTGATATTCATTCAATACAATTAATTTTACTCACATACTTGAAACTTGAATTATGTTTTGTTTTGATCATTCTCTAATTCTAATCGATTTCTTCTTTATATCTGGCACCATTAAATTAATTTTTGTGACTTTGATATAAGTAAAACACAAGAATTGATTCATATTCTCTTATAAAATATTGAACTTAGTTAGTTTCTTTCTAATTATCTCGATATAATTTCTTTCAAATAATGATGATCAAATAAATTCTTTCCTCGATCGTATTCAAATTATTGATTCCATACTTTCTTATTCATCATTATCTTTGTTTCTAAAAGAACAAGTATAATCTATGATATAAGACTATTAATTAGAGATTTCTATTCTAGAATGAATTTATCTTGAACATGAAATTCAAGATCTCAATAACATATATTCAATTGTTGGTTATAAACAGACTTTTCTGTTGACTTTTGCCAGTGATGGACATGGCTATCATGCATCGTTAAGTATACTAAGTGAATATAATACTCGAACATGAAAAATCACAGAATGTAATGAAACCATTAAACATTGATTTATAACTAAATCTATGTTTGCAGAAAAAATAACCCAGAATTTGTTACTCTTGTTCGATGAATCCAAAATAGACTATGAATCACTATTTACTTTTCTATTTTTAGTAAGATTTCACAATCACATTCTCAATCATTATTAAAACAACATGTTTTCAAGTGTTTTAGATAATTTGAAATGAGTTTTTCGACATAATGTATGTCTATTTAGATGAATTTATAGACTTTTTTAAGCAGACGATTTTTGTTAATATCTTGGTACAATGTGAAATATTCCGAAAAAAATAGAGAAAACATTTAAAATGGAGGGGACATTTGAGACGTATGAAAACGTATATTTTGACCCATAATGCTAAGCTAACTCCCCATAGACGCAATATATCAAACTAAAATTTTTATTGTAAGCTGCTTAGCTCGAAATACACCTTCCCTGAAAATTTTATCATGAGTGAATGCTCAAAAAGAAAATTTTTTGAGGGTCCCTTTGAGGTAATAATACAGAAAGATAATCATATGATAGAACGAGATATTTGATTTTTCAATTGTCGCTACCGTTTGTAAGACAATATTTTCCTATCTTTCAATGTCAACTATTGTTTTTTTTCTAATGTTTTAGAAAGGCAAAATTATACAGAACGACTCAAAATTCATTTGACATTCTATAGTTGCTAATAAATGTTTATTTTTATCTTTTCCATGAGCATATGTTTGATACTTTTTTCTCATAAGTATTTCATTTCACTAAAATGAATTCAGTAATTGGGAAAAAATTCTAATTTTGTATATAATGAATGCATTACCCTGGCTAACTTCAAATACTTCTTTCCTAATTATAACATTTCTTTGGTTTTGTTGTTTGCATTAAAAAAATATATTTATAGACGGCTTACATATGGAATTCATTTGGTATTCATCAATAGTGAAAAAGAAAAAAAAAGACGAGAACAGAGACTATACATGAGAAAAAAAAAGAAAAATTTGACGGACATAGAAACAATATTAAATAAAGATCTTTAAATAAATTAAATATTTGGCAAATGTGTATAATTTTCTCCATATGCTAAACGTTTTGTTTGTGGTGATGGTTTTATTGATAAATCTGGATCATTAATAACACTTGTTGTTGGTACACTTGGATGTTGAGCATTTCCAAATCGTGTTTTGTTGACATTTATACGTTGATCAGGATCAAGATAGATTTCAAGTCGACTTGGTCTTAAATAGTCTCCGGGATTGTTTGATGTTGAATGGACATTAGAATATTGTGCTCCTGTTATGCCCGTCAAACTTGGTAGAGTTTTCTAAAGAAAAATCCAATGATACATGTATTACTTCCTTTAGTTTTAGTATTTTTTTAATGAAGGCTTTCTAATAATGAAATAGTGCAAAACAACGGGTGTACGGTAAAAAAAAATGGTGAGGAAAAAAAGCAATTGCAAATGGGAAAATTTCCTCATACAGATATTGGGTAAATGAAAATTGCGTCCACCACGATCATCGGACGCCGGTGTATTATTTCCATCGTGATCTTGATTGCGAGAAAGGGATGGAAAATGCTGGAACAAATTTGTGTTTTCGATATTTTTATTGTATTAAATAGACTTACTCCTGGATTTTGCTGTTTCGCACCAGTAACATAAACATTATTTTGGATTTTCGCTTGCTGTTGTAATAGTTTTTGTTGTTCACGATGTAAGTGTTTCTGTTGTTCTTTTCTTTCACGTTCAAATTCATTAGTAAAACCATCAAAATATGGATGTTGTGAAAGTTGACCGCATGTTAAACGTTTTTCAGGATCCATTACCAAACAACTCTAACAAACAAAAATTAATAATAAAGAAAATAATAACAATAATTATTATTATTATTATTTTACTTTCATAAAATCAAGACTTCGTTCAGATACATAGGGAAATTTTTGTTCTAACGGCTCGATTGTATCAGGTTCAGGAATGTGTACATTTTTATAGTGAGGATTACTTTTTAAAATAGCTACATGCTTATCAATAAGATTACCTGAAGAAAAAAAATAGAAAAATATATTAGAATTATTAAAGAACTTCTTTTAAAATTCTTACCAAGAGTTTTACGAATTAAATAAAGTTGATCCACATCCGATTTACCTGGCCATAATCTAGACAGCAACAAACATAACAATAAATAGAAACTAAAAATGTATTAGTACTTACGGTACTCCGGAATATAATTCGCAAAAGACACATCCAATAGCCCAAACATCAACGGCTGTACCATATTGTCGATCTCCGACCAATAATTCCGGTGCACGATACCATCTTGTAGCTGTTTCATTAAAACATCTCATGTAATACTTGTTTTCTCTATTTATAGAAATTCTAACTACTTACCCACATAATCAGTCATTTCAAGTTGTTGAGCTATATCAAAACAAAAAAAAATAAAGAATGCAATCATATTTCTCCTCCTTAATCCAGTTCAAAATACGCACTCATCAATCGTGCAAATCCAAAATCACATAATTTAACAATATTCTGTTTTGTTATAAGAATATTTTCCGGTTTCACATCAAAAAAAACAAAATAACAAAAACAAAATTTATATATTATATAATTCAACTTTTTTACTTCGACTTACCACGATGAATACACTAAAAAATAAAAATTTATCGATTAGAATTTCTATTCAAAATTCTTTAGATTTTCTCTGTTTTCTTACATTATGTCGATGACAAAACTCTACGGCATTCAATACTTGATATGTAATTTTTTTTATCATCGCTTCCGGTACGCTAAAGATGTAAATATTTAAAAAGCAAAAATTAATTAATTAAAATCATACCCATTTCGATGGGATTCAAGTTCATCAAGAACCGTTCTATCACAATATTCAAATACCAAATGAAGTTTGTGTTTTCGTTTTGTCTTAAATACTTCAATGAGATTCACCAGGTTTTCATGTTTCAAATGCTGAGCAAAATAACATGATCAAAATACAATTCTTTTTTTTTTTTTCAATAAATTCTCTTACTTTTAACATTCGAATTTCTCGCATAGCAATACGTTTTATTGCTGGATCATCGTCGGATTCAATAAATTTTTTAATGGCTACTGTTTCACCTGTGTCCTTATTGCGACATTTAAAAACTTGACCTAAACATGTATTTCATATTTGAAAAATTTTTCCATATAAATTATTTTCTTACCATAGGAACCTTCACCGATCTTTTTAATTTTTTCATACTTATCCATAGACAAGAACTTATTTATTCAAATCTAGATTTTCAAATGAAATAAAGTAAAAAGAAAAAAAGAAAAGAAGTAAAACATTTGATAGGATTCATTAAAAATGAATCGACTTTGTAAGCAAAAAAATAGAAAAAGAACGAGTGTTTATTATTTCAAACATACAAAAAAAATATATCTACGCATTTTCTAGCTTTCATTACTCATTAGATTGTCAATGTCACGCCTTTATATTGTATTGTATTCGAGTCAATTTTATTTTAATGTTTTACTCATTTATGCATTCAAACAAGTTTTTATTCATTGGCTAGAAATATAAGCAATCATCATGACACAGAAGTCTATCTTACTTACTTGCCTATCTTGCTTGCTTGCGTTAGATGAATAAATCACAATGCTTATATAATCATGCAATCCATCAATGTCGCTTGTAGTTCTGTTAATTACCCTAGAATGACATTCATATAAAAAATTAAAATCGAGACAAATATTTGTTTTGTACTCCATTGAATACACCTTCAGTTTCACAAATATGCTTATTCTTGTAGGTTTACTTGTACTGGTGGTTAAAAAAGATAAATTTTGTACTCGTAGTTAACATACTAACAAAACTACGATGATTATCAATTTTGTAAATTGTTCAGACGTCTTTATGCTAAGAAAAACTAGTTATTTATATGATTATTTGCTTCACTATTGTGTGCTTATTTGTGTGTTATTTTACTAGTTATTTTATTTTATTCTATTAAAAATAATCAACAGCGTCATAGAAAAAAATCGTCGTAATGGCATTAATTCTGGTAAAGTTATAAATGTTTCGATTGTTGTTGTCGTTGTTGTGCTGTTTTGTCATTTACATATTAAACTGATTCCACACATTGTCAATAATAGGAATTAAATTGTATTTGTGTTCTAGTCTGATTAAATAAATTTTTTGAGAAAAAGAATCGATGTTATTTACCATTTTGATTATTATAATAACAGACACGAAGAGATTAACATATGTTATTTTAGTCAACAATGAGTATGCTTATGCCAAGAGAGATTATATTTATTCCTCAATATTAAAAATAGTACAGAATGTATATCCTGAATTCTATTCTTCTTCTATACTATGAGACTAAAAATAATTATCTAGGTACTCAGGAATACTAAAATTGAAATCAATTTTAATTTCAAATAATAATGAATTTCGAATTATAGTTCGACATATCGGAAATAATCTTTTTCTTTTTCTATATATTGCATAGTATATCTGACAATGTGATGTTTCAAAATATTTCTAACTTTCAATCTCATTCAATATTGTGTAACTAGAGGATTTCATGCTTAGCTTTCAATCGAGAATAGAATAATGATTCTGATAAGTAGTTTAAGTACGACTTTGAATATATTGGAACAAAATTATACATTATAGCTGTTTGCGAAAACTATCTCATATGATTAAAATCGAAGAAAAACCACCGTTATACTAGCAATCAACCGACGATAGCACGAACAAACATGCGACATAGGATACTTATCTATATAGATTTATAACATTTTATAAAGATTAATTTGTGATCTGTCATTGCTAAAATAACGTTATATATCATAGTATATAAGACATCGGCGATAAGATGATTATTGATGACGAAGAGAAATACAGGTTTTAGACAACGATTTAGCAAAGAGTGCTCATTGATTTTATTGATAAGATATATGTTGAAGAACTAAAAGTCTTGACTATTGTTACAGAAATACATATAAGTTGTTACGAATCTTAAGAAAAAGTATGATCATTAAAGAGATGTTTAAATGTTCTTCCTCTTAGGTCAATGACAACATATTTGTATGAATCAATATTTTTCCCTAATCCTACTCGAAGCTTAAAAAAGACATTTTCAAACTAATCGAATTTAAGTCATTTTCTCTTTCTATGTTAGTTATGTTTAGGAGAAATAGTCGAATGAAACAATTTAAAATTTATTTAATTTAAAACAACAAAAAAAAAATGTGAAGTTCATTCTCAGCAAATCAACAAAATATTTTAGATAGATTTCATGTTTGTCTTTTTATCCTGATTTAGGTTTTCAAGATTGTTGAACTTTTAAATATTGATAGTTCGTTCAATTTAATATTTTATAAAAATAACATTAATATTTATATCAATTTTTATGATAACCAATTATAATTTGATGAAATTTGTAATGATCAATTAAATGTTATAGTTGCATATTAATGATTTCCAATGCATATTTATTTCACATGGTGTTATGTTGTTTATGTTTGATCAAAAGAAAAACAATATGATTTATTTTTAATATGATGAAATTAATGCATATATACCGATATTAAATAACATTCATTAATCGATTCTTCTCTATTGTCATTATCTAGATCAATCGTTGACCAGACGAGAGTTCTTGATGAAAAAAATTATATAGTTTGTCGGGTGATAAATATAATTTGAGTTCGAAGATTTTGTTTATGTCTTAGTAGAAATGGAAATAAAAGATATTCGAAGTAATTAAAGCTCTCTAACAAGTTTAAGAAAGATTTCATAATGAAAACTAAGATGAGTTTTAAAGAAATAAGAACCAATGCAAATATTAAATTTTTATTGTTAGAGTAAATCATATGAATGACATGACGATTCAAATTTCAAGATACTACTTTTTTTTATATATCGTCCACAATTTTGTAATTTTCATAAGAAAATCAGAACTTTCTGTATTAACTACAGTAGTCGTCAAAAGGTTTAGTACTAGGTGAAAAGTATCTAGGTTTGGATCATTTTTGGCTGATATTTTTGCAACAAATACTGCTCGGTAAACCCTGATTGCAAGCATCAATCCGAGGTCAATTAGCTTGAGTGAATCGGATTTAGAAAAAGATCACTGTTTTTTTTTTCTTGAGTCTCAAAAAGCGTTTTGTTTTGACATTTTTTCGGCTTGCCGTAATTTTGAAGCGTCAATATCAATCATTTTATTGACCAACATAGCTATGCATGTCTATAATATATCACAGAGAAGAGAGTCGAATCTACTGTGAACTTGAGGTGCAGTGATGTTTCCAATATCTTGGATCATCTTCGCATAGATTTCCGCTTCATCAATGACTATAATCATGAAATTTTCAGGAAATACTTGATTAGAGTGTGTGACTTACTCGAGAAAATTTCAAACCAAATGGTTGAAAATAATTCAACTTGATGGTTATTTTGTGACAGATTTCATAGACTTTCATGCTATGAGTATTCAAAGATAATTTCATAAATTAAGCAAACTATAATCATTTAACATTGAATTTTTATCAGTGATAAAGGTAGCACTGAGCTCTTGAATGTGTGCTCAAATGCTCTCAGATTTTTTGCTAATGTGAAAATATTCTTGTCGGAATAAAAAGTCTTTGTTAGCCTTCTAGGTCTTTCGCTTGAAGGCCGATCTAGTCCTCATAGCTGCTTGCAATCAGGATTCATTGAACTCTATGTTTTTTGCCAAAATATAAAACTAAAGGATTTGCGTTTAAACACTTTTTACCTGGTAGAAGAACTTTGGACGACTACTATATATGTTATTGTCATGAACTAATGATGTGTACTTAGTAGCTTTCAATGATAGTCTTTAATTTTGCACCTGATTAACTTTTTATAGACTGATTAACCCTTCAAGTCATAATTATGCGTTATCGATGAATAGAATTAAATAAAACAAATTATGTACAATACATCAATGATAAACCAATTAAGATCAATAAGAACGTCAGACTTATGTCAAATATCTCGTTTTGTAGACCACAATTATCGCTAAGAATTCTATTATTGTTTTAGAAACTATTTTATTCTTCTTTTTTTTTAAATGGACATTCCTGAAAGTGCTTCGACGATTGACTATTTCTTCTAATTCTACTAGAGACCGTCTTAGATCTAATACAAAGTAAGTGGTTTCTGTTTTCTACTTTATGCAAAATAATTATAAACTGTTGAATAATCATACAAAGTAAAAAAAAAAATTGAGATTAAATCTCATAATTGGATTGGTAGTAATTATATGTTTTAAAGCTTGCAATAAAAAAAATTATCTAACAAGAAATTTTAATTAACTTAATACAAAATGTTTTGCTGATCGTATTCTCGTGAATATCCCAATTAATTAATCTTTGAAAAAAAAAAGAATCCAGATTTATCTCTTGTCTATCTATGTACATGATCTACATATAAATATTATAATTGATGATGATGAAAATTTTATATGATAATATTGAATATTATAATGAACATAAACAAATAGAAAACGAATTTGTTTTTGACGTATCTTTTTATAAAATCTATTTGATTATTTTTTCATTAAGAATAACAAGAATATCTTTTTCAATCTCGTTGTATTTAATATACATCTTACTTTGAATATTTTGATATTGTACTATTAGAAGTTATGTAATCTGAACAATTTATCATAGTAACAGAAACACAATCATAATTCAAGGTAAAACAGATTTTTTTAATGTTGTAAATCATTGGTCAAAGCATTTGCTAAATGTTTCGAAAAAAATTGCTAATAGTACTTTATGAGTCACAATAAATGGATGAAGAAATATGTTAATAATGAAAAATCATTATTGAAACCATTGAAAAAAAAAATCAATAAAATAAATAAATTGAAGATTTGTTAAATATAAGAGTCAGCGAAAAATATCTATTGTTTGTTATTGATTTAAAAGACTCTTTTTTCACGCTAAACAGATAATAGCAACTTTATGTGCTTTTAATGTAGTAGGTTGAAAAGTAGTAAAGTATCTTTGTTCTTTTTGGATTAATAAAATTTTCGGGATTAAAATAAGTAGAATTTGCCATTGATGTATATTTATTACTATGTCAATATTTTATTGATTTCATACATGCAGGCAGCAATATCGAAAAAATTCTTTGAGACGCATGAAAAAACCTATTTTATGCTTGATTAAAACGACACATGTTATTCATTAGAGATTTTTTCGTTAAGAAGAAGTAATATCAACATTGTAAA